ATCAGCCAATGCTGGGCAACTCTAAGACATGTCACTTAATCTCCCTGTAGAGAAGACATACAAAGAAACCCTAGCAAAGCACTTCCATCTCCAAAAGTGGAAATGTGTTGTCAAAGCAGAAAGGGCAATTCAATGATTCAGTTTGAGGTAGAAAATGTTACTTAACATGATTGATTAGCTTTGACAAAGCATTCACAAGATCATTCCACCTTCAGGAGACAGCTAGTCCAGTACAAGGAGCATAAAGATGGGAGTTAGATTGGAAATCTCAGGATAATTCTGCCTATTACTTGTTAGGTTACTTTGGATTTCTCCTTTCTGGGTTCTATTAACTTGATGATACCAATAATACCAATTTCTGACTAGCTCATAGAGATGATGTAAAGATAGGCAAGAAATAGGTCTGAAATTTACCTGAATGACTAGTAATAAGTTTAAAGAACAAGACAAACTTTCCCCCCAGTTAATAACTTTTTAATTATACCATATTTACAATAGAATAATTATTTCCCAACGTGTATCACACACACACACACACACACACACACTGAACACCCACTTGCAACAATGGAAAAAATAAGTAAAACTCGATTAGCAAAGCAACCATATCTACCAATATATGCATAATTCCACCACCATTATCATAGATAAATATCTTAATAGAGCATTAAAGGAAAGAATCTACTGAGCAACATGGCTTTGTTAGATGGCTAAGCCTATCCTATTTACTAAGTAATCTTGCCAAATAACAAACTTAAACATATGTGTGAAAAGGCCAGGAAAGTAGTAATGAATGCATCTCTGTATTCTCAGAAAAGGTACCTATGATGAGAAGCTCATTTTTAAGTTGTAAAACAAATGTGCTAGATAAATGCTAATCCAATAGGCTATGGTATATTTGGAAAAGTGAAGAAATTCAGGACATGTAGATCAAAACCTGAGTCTTCTTTGTTTTCCTTACAGGATGTCAGGACCATCTTGCACAGGTATGTAGACAGGTAGACAGGACTCTTGGGCTGTTGCCAACCTTGTCCCCTGAAAAAGGCTTGGGAACCCATCTGATAATGCAAGATTAGTAGTGGTCACATTATGGGACACATGTAGATTTTAAATTAGCAAAACAATAACAGAGAAACTCATTTACCTTGCCCTGTAGCTGGTTGTTCATTTGCCTGGAACCTAGAGAAGTTAGAGGGAAAAATGAAGAAAAATAGTAGAAAGGACATTGTATTTGGAGTCAGAGGACCTGGTTTTGTTTTGTTTTGTTTTTTGTCAAACTTTGTCATTTTTAAAATTTTTAAAATTTTTATTAATTAATTAATTAATTTTTCGTTTTCAACATTCATTTCCATGAGATTTTGAGTTACAAATTTTCTCCCTATCTCTCCCCTCTCCCTACCCCAAGGCATGCATTCTACATACTCCTTCCCCCAATCTGCCCACTCTTCTATCACCCTCCCTTCTCTTATCCCCTTCCCCTTCTACTTTCTTGTAGGACAGGATAGATTTCTATATCCCATTGCCTATATATCTTATTTCCCACTTGCACGTAAAAACAATTTTTAACATTCATTTTTAAAACTTTGAGTTCCCAATTCTCTCCCTTCCTCCCTCCTCACCCACCCTCACCGAGAAGGCAAGCAATTTGATATAGGTTATACATGTGTAGTCATGCAAAACACTTCCATAATAGTCATGTTGTGAAAGACTAACTATATTTCCCTCCATCTTATCCCGCCCCTCGTTTATTCTAGGTTCTCCTTTGACTCTGTCCCTCCTCAAAGGTATTTGCTTCTGATTACCCCCTCCCCCAATCTGCCCTCCCTTCTATCATTCCCCCCTCTCTTATCTCTTTCCTCCCTATTTTCCTGTAGGGTAAGATAGAGTTCCATACCCAATTGAGTGCGTATGTTATTCCCTCCTTAAGCTAAATCCAATGAGAGTAAGATTCACTCATTCCCTCTCACCTCTCCCCTCTTCCCCTCCATTGTAAAAGCTTTTTCTTGCCTCTTTTATCTGAGATAATTTACTCCATTCTACCTTTCCCTTTCTCCTTCCCCGAGTACAATTCTTTCTCACTCCTTAATTTTATTTTTTAGATATCTTCCCTTCATATTCTACTCACCCTGTGCCCTCTGTGTGTGTGTGTGTGTGTATATAGATATAGATATAGATATAGATATAGATATAGATATATTTCCTCCAACTACCTTAATACTGAGAAAGGTCTCATGAGTTACAAATGTCATCTTTCCATGCAGGAATATAAACAGTTCAACTTTAATAAGTTCCTTATGATTTCTCTTTCCTGTTTACCTTTTCATGCTTCAAGAGAAGCATGAGTCTTGTATTTGAAAGTCAAATTTTCTGTTCAGCTCTGGTCTTTTCATCAAGAATGCTTGAAAGTCCTCTATTTCATTCAATATCCATTTTTTCCCCCTGAAGGATTATACTCAGTTTTGCTGGGTAGGTGATTCTTGGTTTTAATCCTAGCTTCTTTGACCTCCAGAATATCATATTCCAAGCCCTCAGAAACCTTAATGTAGAAGCTGCTAAATCTTGTGTTATCCTGACTGTGTTTCCACAATACTGGAATTGTTTCTTTCTGGCTGCTTGCAATATTTTCTCCTTGACCTGGGAACTCTAGAATTTGGCTATAATATTCCTAGGAGTTTTCCTTTTGGGATCTCTTTCAGGAAGTGATTGGTAGATTCTTTCAAGTCCTATTTTACCCTCTGGTTGTAGAATACCAGGCAGTTTTCCTTGATAATTTCTTGAAAGATGATGTCTAGGCTCTTTTTTTGATCATGACTTTCAGGTAGTCCAATAATTTTTTTTTTAAGGCAATTGGGGTTAATTAAGTGACTTGCCCAGGATCACACAGCTAGTTAAGTGTCAAGTGTTTGGTCTGAGGCTGGATTTGGACTCAGGTCCTCCTGACTTCAGGGACAGTGCTCTATCCACTGTGGCACCTAGCTGTCCCTCCAATAATTTTTAAATTATATTTTCCAGGTCAGTTGTTTTTCCAATGAGATATTTCACATTGTCTTCTATTTTTTTCATTCTTTTGGTTTTGTTTTATGATTTCTTGATTTCTCATAGAGTCATTAGCTTCGATTCACTCTGTTCTAATTTTTAAGGAATTATTTTCTTCATTGAGTTTTTGAACTTCTTTTTCCATTTGGCCAATTCTGCTTTTTAAGGCATTCTTCTCCTCATTGGCTTTTTGGACCTCTTTTGCCATTTGGGTCAGTATATTTTTTAAGGTATTATTTTCTTCAGTATTTTTTAGGGGTCCTCTTTAGCAAGCTGTTGACTCATTTTTCATGATTTTCTTGTATCACTCTCTTCCCAATTTTTCCTCTACTTCTTTTACTTGCTTTTCAAAATTCTTTTTGTGTTCTTCCATGGCCTGAGACCAAGACCTGAGTTTGACTCCTAACCTGCTACTAAACTTCCCTGTGGAACCTTGGTCAAATTAACTTTCTCTGGGCTTCAGTTTCCTGCTCTGTAAAATGAGAAGTTTAGACTAGATGACCCCTAAACTGCCTTTTAGGAGTTAAATTTATGATCCCATTAAAGCATTTTAACTTTTGTCATTAAAGGAGCGAGCAGATAAGATGTTAGTACACTAGTCATTTTTAGTTTGGTTATTGCCTCCAACCCAAATCATTACTGCCTGGTTACTGATATGGGAAAAATAAAAGAGTTTCACCTAAGTTCCTTGTGGACTGGTGGTTCCATGGCACTGAATTCTGACAGGCAGTCTCCCTGAGAGATTTCAGAACCTCCATGAGGGGGAAGAATAGTAAAGAAGTTAGTAGGACAAAGTGTTAAGAAAGCCTCACTTTTCCTGGATCTGGCAAATGTCATTTTTGTGAAAAGGGTGATGTTCCACTTGACCCTTTCAATTCAATCATTCAGTCTATAAGTAATTATTAAGCACCTACTATTCTGTGCTAGGTGCTGGGCAAACAAAAGCAGCAATGCATATATCACTTTCATATGAGAAATACAAAACCTTCACTTGATTTTCAAAATTCCATGTCTGTCCTTAGGCATGATGATACTAAGCCCCCTATGCCAACTCCCAAGTTCCCTGACCTGGACAAGAGAATCAAGATTTTCTCCCAGAAACATCTGTCTCTCAGCCATTGCTTACAACAGTTCAAAGGTAATGGATTATAATTGTTTTCATATGAAATGTTTGTTATTGATTCATGAACATTTAGACTAGTAGTTCTCAGAATGTGGCCCATGGACCCCTTGAAGTCCATGAGACCCTTTCAGGTCTGAAAGGTTAAAACTATTTTCATAATAATACTAGATATTATAATGCTTATTAAAATACTCCTCCCTTCCCTAACTATATATTGATGCTAGATTTTCTTCATATACTTCAACCATGTATCACAACAGAATGAATGCAGAAGCAGATATGAGAATCCAGCTGTCTTCTAGTAAGTGAGATATTAAAGAGACTGGCAAATATATATAAACCAATGCCACTCCTCTATTATTTATGTTTTAGAAAATATAGCATTTTCCCTATAAATATTATAAATTATAAATATAAATATTAGATTATTATGAAATAGATTTATTATTTTAATGAATTAATTTAAAATTTTAATTTATCTATTTTAATTTCTAATATGGTAAATAAATGTATATATATTATATATACTATACATACATATACACACACAAATATATCCCACATAAATAAAAGCTCTTTGGGGTCCTCAGTAATTTTTAAGTGTGTAAAGAAGCCTTGAGACCAAAAACTTTAACAGCTATTGACCTAGATGATGAAGAAGTCTCTGTTATGATGTATAAGTAACTGTTCTTTTTTTTTAAGCAATAATTTACATATGCATAGCACCTGTCTCCTTAGTGCCTCAAAACATTTTAACTTTTTTTTCTTCCTAGAAAATCTACCATCTTTTCTGATGGAAATAAGAGGTAAATTGCTCAAAATAACAAGTCTGGTAAGGCTATCCATATGGATATCACTTGTCATTTTTTTTCAATTATTAGGTGTTTTTTCCCTCCCATCTCCTCCATAAACATACTAAAAAAAGAATAACAAAATAAAACCCTTGTAACAAATATGCACAGTAGAGCAACACAAATTCCCATACTGGCCATGTCCAAAACTGTGTGTCTCATTCTGCATATTTAAGTCTATTACCTCTCTCTCAGACCTGAGGTGGGAAGCATCCTTCTACATTAGTTCTCTGGAATTATGGTTGGTCATTACAACCTGATTTTTTTTTTTTAAGGAAAAGCAAAGAAGACATACTCCTTCCCAGATATGAGGAGGGGAGGGGAGGGAGCAGAAGCAATGACAGCAATAAGGCTATCTTATTTACTCAAAAAAAATAGGACTGGGTCACAGAACCCAGTTTAACTCTGTGTAGATTCTATGTTTGTCTGGCAGGGCTTGTTTTCAAATGCATTTATAGTTTTCATGAAACATAGGAGGGCAATACAAACCAATGTTGCTCACAATAGAGGAAGGACATCTGAAGGTAATGAAACCTGAAACCAAGGAAAGTGAGCAGTTAAATAGGTAATAAGGCCGTAAAACTGACTGAAAAAAAATTGATTCTTCTGTTTATACCATAGACAGCTTCACTTTCCACTGACAAAGCTCAGCTTTCTTTATTTCTGAGAATCCTCAGGACTCTGAGAATGATGCTATTGCCATTTGAGCAATAGAGTTGATCATTCATGGCCAACAGAATCTGAGCCAGATTCCAGTGATCCTCAAGTCTTTCCTTCTGTGGAAAGAGGTGCTGAGAAAGCAGTCTTCTGACATAGTTCAGTAGAAATATCTTTGGATTTGGAATGAAACATATCTTCCTTTGGAGAAAATAGGGTAGAGGAAGGAAAATCACAGTTATCATCTAGCCAAAGTCCTTTTCCAATCCCTCCCCTCAGACTCACTCATACCCATACAATCAAACTATGGATCTCCACTGTGATCATTCCCTCCTAAAATGAACTCTCTTTTTCTCCCCAGATTCTATGACTTTGGATCCAGAAACTGCCAATGCTTTTCTTATGGTGACAGAGGATCACCAGCATGTGAAAAACATAGGGACCAAACAGGATGTGTCCAGAAACCCAAAGAGATTTTCCTATTTTTCCTGTGTCCTGGGGTCTCAAGGTTTCAACTCAGGCAGGCACTTCTGGGATACAGAGGTTACTCATGGAGGTTACTGGGGACTGGGAGTTGTCAAAGAATCAGTGAATAGGAAACAGTGGTTTAAGCTAAGACCTGAAGAAGGAATCTGGGCTATCGGGCTGTACCAAAATCAGTACCAAGCTCTTACCTCACCCTGCACTAGTATTGTGTTGAAAGAGAAACCCAAGAAGATCAGACTTGTCTTGGATTATGAAGAGGGCTTGGTATCATTCTACGATACTGACACTATGAGTCACATGTTCACTTTTTCTGCTACTTTCACTGAGAAACTCTTCCCCTTTTTCTGGATGCCCTCAAAAGGGTCTTACATAACACTCTGTCCCAGTAGGGAGTCATGCTTCTCCTGAACATCTCTTCCTCTCTGAGAGATTTACAACACTGACAAATACCTAGGAGCTACTGTCATTACCATCTTCATGACTGCATGACGGAATTCAGATTTCTTTTCCTCGTTTGGGGTTTAAGTGTTATGTAAATGAAACTCACCAACCATGAACACTTAGAGCCTTTTCCTGTTTTAATGTGTTCGTAGCCGAGTGATATTTTCTAACTCTTGACTATTTTCTTCCACTTTTACCTTCATCCATCCAACTTCGTTCACAATTCACTTTCCTCTCATCAAACAAAACCCACCTCCCCAAAAGTCCCCCACTGTGAGAAACCTCCTCCAAACAAGTGAAAATCTCTGAACCTATAGCAGCTTTTACTAATCATCCAAATGAGAACAGAGGAAAGGTGTCAAACACAGGGCCCACACAATCCCCAGTTTGGCAGGAAATCAGATTAAAATGAAATTGGTAAATATTTGAATACAGTTGGGAAATAAAATACAAAGAAACATAGATAATATTACATTTCAAAACCAAGTCAATACGCGCCCTGCAGGAATCCTTATTTATGAATTAGTGGCACTCAATTCTATTTGTTTGACATTACTGTTCTAGAATACCTCATTAAAAAAAAAAAGTTCCTAATTCCTTCCCAGGGACCATGTTCTGTAGCAGTTCCAGAACATTGCTGAATGAATGAATAATTCATTAACTCTAATCATTCTTATGGGACAGATAGGTGGCACAGTGGATAAAGCACAGGGCCTGAAGGCAGGACTACTTGAGTTCAAATCCAGCCTCAGACACTTGTCGCTTAACTCTACCTCATTTCCTCATCTATAAAAATGAGCTGGAGAAGGAAATGGCAAACCATTCCAATATCTTTGCCAAGAAAATCCCAAATGGGGTCACAAAGAGTTGGATGAGACTGAAATGACTGAACAACAAAAATAATTATTAACTCTATTGAGCAAAAATGGAAGAGCACCCTTATAGACCAGACTCACCAATATGAGTCTGACATATTAATTCTATCTAAATACATATAGAAATTATTTTTTTTTGCCCAGTTCCATTCTGACACTCACTGTTAGATCCACATTGCAAAAATCACAGAACTGAGAAGTAACCTAGTTCAGTCTCCTGTCTTAATATGGTCTCTGCTACAGCTAAATAATTCAAAATGGATATTTGTACCACATTCCATTTTATGTTACTCATAAGTAGAAAATACTCTAAAAATAGCTTAGATGCTTTCCAGACTTCTTTCAGATTATTTTCTTTTACTCAAATACCAAATTGGATCACTTTCTATTCCCCAAGTACATCTTTCCTATAGGACCATGCCTTTGCTCATGCAATTCCCTGTCTGGAATGCCCTCATCTCTAACTCCTCCACCCTCCTCCACCATCTTCTGATTCCCTTTGGTAAAAGTGACCTATCTCTTTCTCACTCCAGACTCCATAAACACTTTGTTTATACATCTCCACTTTATATTATAATACAACATCAATATTACACTTACAGGTAATATTTTTATATCATCAATCGCACTTCACTTATTATTTGTTTTTTGTCTTGTGACACCAATAAGTACTAACATTAACACTAATACTCCAATCTCTTTTGGACTTCAGCTCAATTGTCTATGAATTACAGAATTACAAGGTTAGAAGACATTGAAAGATTATCTACTCCTTTCACCTACCTTCAATCAAAGCCCCTCCATTCAATAAGAATCTATCCTTTGGAGGAAATCTTACAATTTCCTTCCATGTGTTCTGATGAGTACTTATTCAACATAGAGGGGTAGTGTGTTATGGTGGATGGTACACTGGCCTTGGAAGTCAAGAAGGCTTGGGTTCAATTCCTACTTCACACAGATACTGGCTGACTGGTCATTTAACCTATCAGCATCCCAAGAAACTTTCTAAGACTAGACTGCGGAGCAGATCCTAGTCTGTGTTAGTTGAGGAAGCTTCCTCACCACAGGAGTTCCCTACACTAGTAATACAGTTCAAAAAGAAATGTTCTTCATATGCATGAGGAGGATACAATAGAATGGTATAAATGGTGCAACTAGCATCAGAGAACTTGTTTTCAAATCCTATCTTGGCTAACTTACTTCCTGTGTGATTTTGTTTATACCTCTATGGGCCTCAGTTTTCTTATCTGTAAAAAAAGGGGAGGTTGAATTAAATGATCTCTAAGGTCCTTTCTAATTCTAAATCTATCACCCAATAAGAATATTATCAAGTTACTTTTCATTCTCATTTGTATTCTGCCTTAGATTTACAAAATTAGTATCATTAATAAAAAACAATTTTGACATTTTCCTCTGTTATCAGTTTCCTTTTTTAAACTTTTTTCTGGTCATTGTGAAGACAGACTTATTTGTGTTCAAGAGATTTAGTGTCTATTAATGTGGACCACTGCCCACATTCTTGCCCAATAGTTCAGCAAACAAATGAGGGTAATTAATTGTTTCTAGTGGTCAGGGCAGGGAGAGGTTTGGTGAAAGCTGCAAAGACTGTTTTACTTGGAAATGGAGCTAAGACAGTCTGACTCCTCACCATTAGGTGCAGCGATGTTGTCCTTATTTCTAGTTCCTCAAGCTCCTAATTCTTTCTCCTTCACTTTTTTTTCATTAAGGACACTGCCAGTTCTTTCTTCAGAATATTGGCTCTGCCTTTTCTTCTTAGTTATCATAGCCAGAGATCATCATATCATATCTCAGTCCAGTCCTTAAGCAACTCATACCAAAACTAATACAAAAGTTTAAAAAATAATTATTCCTCTTCATAGAGTAGCTAAAATTTTACTCAAACATCTTATTTTCATTATACAGTATTATTCTTTTCAAGAATCCATAGTAAAATTCCATTTAAAATGACAGGATGTATAAAAAGTAGGGAGTCTATCCACCAAGATTCACACAAGAACTATATAAATACAACAAACCACTGTTTACAGAAATGAAGACAACTATATATATCAAATTTAAATTATTGACCTTGGGTCTTAAGTTCATTCACTCAGTTGGACTTATTTAATTGCCCTAATCTTAGAGAAACTGAGGGCTTTTAACCCGGATAATACTTTAGGAAGATATAGTAACTGCTTTCAAATATTTGAAGGGCCGTCATGTGGAAAAGGGATTAGATTTGTTCTGCCTGACTTCAGATGTCAGAACTAGGAATAATGGGTTGAAGTTGCAGATGGGTATATTTTAATCAGGAGTAGCGGGTGTTACAGTGGAGAGAGAGCTGGGCCTGGAATCAGGAAGACATCCTCCTGAGTTCAAATCTGGTCTCAGACATTTACTAGCTGTGTGACCCTGGGCAAGTCACTTAACACTGTTTGCCTCAGTTTCTCATTTATAAAATGAGCTGGAGAAGGAAATAGCAAACCATTCCAGTATCTTTGCCAAGAAAACCCCAAATTAGGTCCCAAAGAGTTGGACATAACTGAAAAGACTGAATGACAACAAAAGTATATAGATGCGTTATTTATTTTTGTCCTATCCTGGATAGTAAGCTCCTCCGTGACCTTGGGGAGTAGAAGAGTGGGGAGGGGCTGGTGGTGGCTATCTCCTGTTTCCTTTATAACTACCTGAAGTATCTATTAAAAAAATACACAATTAGTAAGCTTAGATTTGGAGTTGGGAGATACCAGAGTTATAAACTTGTCTCTGAAATGTACTATCTGTGTGACTATAGACAAACAATCTCATCTGTCTGTGCCTTAGCTTCCTAGTCAGCAGCCTGTAGTCACCTCTCTGGCCTTTAGCTTTCTCATGTGAATGTGAATAACATTTGCATCTATGACCTCACAAGGTGGTTGCTATAAAATCGTTTTAAAAGTGCGAACCATTCCTGTTCAATAGATGTGGGCTGATTCTTCTAACTAAGAGAGAATTCCCCAGAAAGGATCAAAGAGACCAACAAAGAAAGGGAACTTCCTTAGGCAGTTGTCTGGTGTGCAAAGGACATGGTGTTCTTTGCGCTTGTTCCCAAACCAGACAAGTCAGTTTCTACTCCTATTTCAAAGCCATACCTCTTTCTCATTCTTTTGTGGTTGTTGCAGCAGCATTTGGTCTGCAAATGAACTAGAGGAATGTTAGAAAAACCATAATTAGAAAATCTATGAGTACAAAGTTGACACAAACATTGAGGTAAATATGCTCTTTGCCCTCTGAATCAACAAGTCTGTAATACATATTGCCTGACTAATCCTTGAGTGACTTGTCTGACTGAGGCCACGGAAAATACTCATAGATAATGAACTGCCAGTGGATTAGTGAACTGATCCAACCATTCCAGAGAACATTTGGGACTAAGCCCAAAGGGCTATAAAACTCTGCATACCCTTTGACCCAGAAATACCACTACTAGGTCTGAATCCCAAAGAGATCAAAGGAAAAGGAAAAGGACCCATATGTACAGAAATATTTATAGCAGCTCTTTTTGTAGTAGCAAAAAATTAGAAATTGAGGGGATGTCCATCGATCGAGGAATGGATGAACAAGTTGTGGTATATGATTGTGATGGAGTACTAATGTTTTCTAAGAAATGACAAGGGGGATGGTTGCAGAAAAAGAACTGATGCAAAGTGAAGTGAGAAGAATCAGGAGACCATTGTGATGAGTAACAGAAATATTGTAATAATGATCAACTGTGAAAGACTTGGATACTTTGATCAATACAATGATCCCAGACAATTCCAAAGGACTCGTGATGAAAAAATGCTATCCACTTCCAGAGAGAGGACTGATGAATTCTGAACACAAATTGAAATATAATTTTCTCACTCTCTTTTTCTTGCTTTTGTTTTAATATGACTAATATGGATGTATATTTTGCATGATTTCACATTATAATTGACATTATATCGCTTGCCTTCTCAGTGAGTATGGGAAGGCATAGGATGGAGGGAGAGAATTTGGAACTCAAAAGTAAAAAAGAAAAGAATGTTAAAATAAATAAATAATCAAATGTTTTAAAAAATTTTTTAAATAGAGTGACATTGGGTTGGGGTATGGGGGGGCGAGATTATGGTGTGTCTTTAGACGTTCTATAAGTGAACAGAATGTGCTGGACACAAAATAGCTAACTAAAGATTTTTATTTAACTGAGTGCAGCTCATAATGCTGGCAGCAGGATCCATATTGGCAGTTGGAAAGGCAGTTGGATTTGAGATGGCAACCATGACACAATGGTGCCCTCCTGCCAAAAACAGATGGCACCTGGCATGTGCCCTGTTACATCCACTTAGCTACAATGAACAAAAAGATCTCATTCTATTGTGTCCTGTTATACCACTCTCTTAGCTGTTTTCCTCGTCTTTATCCCATATGGCT